TTTGATAAAGAGAGCTGTTTCCAACCCAATAATTCCAAAATGCCTTTGACCATGGAACCCTTGTTTTACCAAACCTCTTTTGACATCCTAGGGGTGGGAACCCTGGTTTAGACATTCTTGCGACCCCAAGGCTGAGATCAAGGTCCACTTCTTACCAAGATCATTCATTCACTGATTAAGTGAACACTAATTTAATGGACTCTCCAGGTCAGACTCTGTCTGCACTCCAGGACAGTTACAAAGAAGAAAGTATCTAGGTCCCTGCACTCCAGTCAATGTAATGGGAATGATAAATGTGACCAAATATGAACAATTTCATATGATACAGTCTTCTCTGCACCCCATTGCTGCTGACAGTCTGTGTAGCACAATTTAGAACCCAAGTTATTCGCTAAATATTTCCTGTGCACTGGTCTTATCTCCTTCCCTGTGTTGTGTACTATTTGAAGGCAAAGCTCATGCTTTATACTTGTCTGTATTTATGGTACTGAGCATGGATTTGGACACATAGTAGGTCATCCAGTGAATACTAGTTGGTTGATTAACTAGTTGATTTCATTAACCAAATGAAAACAAATAAAAAAGCCTAAACTAGATGATCCCTTAGTCCTTTTTAGTTTTGCAGAGTTTTTAAGAGCATTTGTCAAATATTGGTACAACCCCATGCCTACAAAATTATGGTGAACCATAAAAATATTGAATAATTCATAGCTCTAGTTTTCCTGGAGCTGTCTTAATGCCATAGAAATATCAAAATTAATGTGTGCTACCCCTCCAAATAAGCAAGCCACAGCAAACTAAAGCCATTTACTCTCTGCTTATAGACACATCTTAAGTGTTAAAATTTAGTGCCTCGACCTCGTAATCGGAAAACAGCCAAGTTTCTGATTTTACATATGGGAATCCTGACACTCAAGTGAATGCTTAGCTATTCGTTGTAGAATTTAATACAGATTAGGGTTAAGCCACAATTGGTAACACTTGGGGAGTTGTTAATTTCTGGCTGGCAATTGCACTGTAAACTCCCTTCATAAATTTTAGATTTAAACTTGGCATTGTCGTCTAGATTTTATGCACATTTATTTGATTTATGTATGCTGAGTGGTTCCTAATTGTATGATCAGTCAACAGACAGCACCTCGGATGCTTTATGTATTTCAGAATTGTTCAGAACCACAGAAACTTAATTTCGTAAGTGAACAAAGAAGTGAATGTAGTGGGGATAAGTTACACTGGGCTCTATTACGACATGGCACAGCTTCTCAACCTCAACACATTGTGGCCCAGATGATTCCTTGTTGTGGCAGGTGGCCTTCTGCACAATAGGATGTGTAGCAGCATTCATGGCCTCTACCTACAAGATGCTAGCAGCAACCCCCCACCCCATTATGACACCAAAAATATCTCCATAGGTTGCCAAATGCCCCCTGGGATAGGGTTGGGGGTCAAAGTCACCCCTGCTTGAGAACCACCGATGATAAAAGAACCCCCTGGTGACTCAAGTCAGTTCTAGCTATTTTTCATTTTGTGGATTGTCCATTAGTATGTGCCCAGAGCATGGAGACCAAGGCTCTCTGTGCTTTGGAACTAGATGATTCCTTTTTTCTAGCCTGTGTGGCTTAGGAGAAGTTACCTGACCTCTCAGAGTCTCAGTTCCCTCGTCTGATGAATGTAAGTTAGCAGCATGCTGAAAAGCCCCTAGTATAATACCTGGCAAGTGGCAGGCATGTATTAAATGTCGGTAGCTCCCTTCCTCCTCCTCCCACGCCTCCCCCTCCTCCTCCTCCTTCTGCTCTTCCTCTTTCCCCAAAGTCAGGGGTGAACACAACCAAATGATGTGCACTACAAATAGCTTGGTGGTTTGTTTCCAATTCTTTCCTTCCATAGAACAGATAATCAGGAGCTGACATTTTATCCAAACCTTATGTGAGCTTTGGAGGATGGAACCGCCTAAGTCAGCAAGAGATAAAGGAGACTCTGAGTCCTCCTTTGCATCCATGCCCAAGAACTGCCAAATATAGGGAATGTGTCCACACACATCGGAACCATTCATCCATTTCTTATTCTCTGTTCAACATGATAAAACTGTAACTTGAGTAAAGAAAGAGCCTGCTCACAGATTGAGCGTATCCCCAAGCCGCACCTACCCAAAGCCATAGAATAAGCCTGGGGGCTCAGTCAGTGACACTGACAGCACCAGTCTAGAATGAAGAAGCCCAGACGAGCCACCATGGTGGGGGGGGGGGGGGAGCGCTGACATGGGAGCATATCTGGTATCGCTCCACACCTGAAGGGTTTACAGAAAGAACACCTGGAAAGGTTTATGGACTTTATTCTCATTATACAGGCATTATAACAACATTACAAACCACTGGCAATATGGAGGAGAAGAGAAGGAGGTCCCCCAAAGTTCTCACACTCAGTGCGAATGTCCTCATTTGACATATTTACTTCTAGGCCTGGTTCCTTTGCACGTGTGATTTCCCTTGGCTGCAATGATTTCATGCATAGTCTTCTCTGACCTCTTTGCCCCCCATATTGTACTAGATACACGAGTGTTCCCCTTTGTTCTTTTGTGTATTTCTTTCGAGTGAGAGAGGGGGGCAGAGAGAGACATGGGGGAGAGAGGCAGAGAGATGGAGAGAGTGAGAGAGAGAGAGAGAGAGAGAGAGAGAGAGAGAATCCCAAGCAGGCTCTGCCCACATGGGGCTCAAACTCATGAACAGCAAGATCATGACCTGAGCCAAAATCAAGAGTCAGACACTCAACCGACTGAGCCACCCAGGTGCCCCACCCTCTGTTCTTATTACTTTCAGTTTTCTTATTTAATGACCACTGAGACATTCTTCTTTTTTTTTTTTTAATGTTTTATTTATTTTCGAGACAGAGAGAGAGACAGAGCATGAGCAGGGGAGGGGCAAACAGAGAGGGAGACACAGAATCCAAAGCAGGCTCCAGGCTCCCAGCTGTCAGCACAGAGCCCGACTCGGGGCTCAACTCACGAACCGCGAGATCATGACCTGAGCCGAAGTCAGATGCCCAACCGACTGAGCCACCTAGGCGCCCCACTACTGAGACATTCTTGGAAAAGGTTTTCCACGAAGTAACTAATTACCCCATTGCTGAAGAATACTTGGCTTCTGATGTTGCAATTATAAATCATTTAGAAAAAAAAATCATGAATATAGCTTTTTCCCTTTTAGGATTACTTTCTTAGGATCAAGTCTCAAAGGTGGGATTCATAGGTAAAATCTGTGAACATTTCTCTGCAGTGTTAAATATGATTGTCCAAAATTTTAAATGCATCATTCTGATTATAAAAGCTATCAGTGGTGCACTGCAAAATATTCAGAAAATAGAGGAAAGTATACAAAAGAAAACAAAAATCATTCCTAATCCTTTAACCCAACTGCTGCTAACATGTGCTGCATTTCCTTCTAGTGTTTTCCGTGTCTGTCTTTAATATGTGCAACTATTTAAAATTAGTTTTGTGGTAATATTGTCAAGATAGGGCTTTCTGAAGAAGCAGTTATAGATGGTTCTGGCCTCAACTAAGACAGTCAGAGGAAGTTTTCAAGTTTTCAATATTCGAGTAATTTTCAGTATTCAAGTAATTCAATATTTAAGGGGTCTTGTTTGAGTGTGAAGGAGGCTCGGGGGTTACCATAATTGCTTCAGTACACCCGAAGCCTCCTCCACATCATCCACCTTTTGTGAAAGGCCATCTATCTGCCTTCCTTGCCAACCTTCTCTAGCATGGGCACTCCTATCAGACAAAGCCCTGACTGCTTTCATGCAGGGGCTGTGTTCTAAAGTCAGTGTGGCATCGACTGATGAATGGACAAAGATGTGGTTGGAATATATAGGAACATATCTCATATATATGAATATATATGAACTTGGCAATGAGAAAGAATGAAATTCTGCCATTTGCAGCAACGTGGACGGAACTGGAAGGTATTATGCTGAGTGATATAAGTCAGTCAGAGAAGGACAGATATCATATGTTTGCATTCATATGTGGATCTCGAGGAACTTAACAGAAGACCATGGGGGGGAAGAGAGGGGGGAAAATAGATACAAACAGAGAGGGAGGGAGGCAAACCATAAGAGACTCTTAAATACAGAGAACAAACAGGGTGGATATGGGGGGTGGGGGAGAGGGAAACAGGTGATGGGCATTGAGAAGGGCACTTGTTGGGATGAGCACTGGGTGTTGTAGGTAAGCCAATTTGACAATAAATTATATTTTACAAAAAAAAATAAAGTCACTGTGGAAGAAATCTGTGAAGTATAGCCACACGAACCTTCAAAAACCCCTAAGGAAGGGGTCTCCTATGTTGGAGAGTAACATAATGCCCCCAATAAGTCCAACCAGCTAGTTTTCCTCTGGTGTGAGAACAGATCGCTCTTCCTTTGGTTGAGCACCAGATGAAACAGTTGACTTGCAAAGGGGCCGTACTGTGTAAAACATACAAATCTCTGGGGCGCCTGGGTGGCTCAGTCAGTTGAGCGTCCAACTTCGGCTCAGGTCAAGATCTTGCAGTTCATGAGTTTGAGCCCCACATCGGGCTCACTGCTGTCAGATCCTCTGTCCTCCTCTCCCTCTGCCCCTCCCCCCTCTCAAAAATAAATAAACATTAAAAAAAAAAAGCATACAAATCTCTGACAGTAAATTCACACACAGGCTCACAGAATGAGAGGTCACTGGGGACTGACACTGATGAAAGAATGGTCTCCATCTCGTGTGCTCATTGGGTGGGGCCATGTGAAGAATCACCCTCACTGGGAAGGGGTCACCTGTTCTCCCTCTTCCCTTCTTTCCTTCCTCCCTCCTCCTTTTATTTGTTCTAATTGCTTACAACTGAATCCACACAGGTTTCACGCTTTTGTAATGAGAGGCCATTACAGTTATTCAGCCTGCATTGAACACGGCTCTTGACAGGGAATTTACCTCAGCGGGCCACTCGTTGTGTGTCCTGGCGCGATGGAGAGCAGCTCCTCGCCCCGTGCCCGCGAAAGCCTTCCTGAATTTGTAACATCTCTAATTCCTCCAGTCATTTTTGTTCTGGAGTGGTTTCCAGTTGCCTCGCCTTCCTGGTTTGCCTTGAATGCTTGCTGCGCCCAGGAGAAGAGGGACTGTGGGTCCCCTCAGTTCGTTGGCGGCCTAAGCAGCAGTAACAGGGCAATGGCAGGGCGTGAGCGGAATGACTCTGGTTCCTCTCTGCACCTCTCGCTCCAGCAGCCCGATTTCCAGATTTGTGGATGGCACCTGGGGAAGCGATGCTGCAAGCCCATGTGAAATCCAAGTACATCACCAGTTGTCTGTGTTTGGATTTGGTTCGGGGTTTTATTAATGACAGAGGATTTGATTAAACAAAGTTTCCACTATAACCAGCTCCAGCTGGATCTAAGCATCAATGGGAAGCCCCAATTCCCCTGATATTGTCCTCTCGCCCTTCTCCCTCACAATTTCTTTTCCAAGTCATTTGCTCTGAATCTGATAATGGTGAGGTCATCCAATCTCATTTATTTTAAGGGCCAGTCTGGCACTCCCAGCACGACGGCCCTGTGATGAAGGATTTTGTGTGGAAGATGTTGTGTACCCTGGGATGTGGCCTCATCCTACCCTATGGAATGAAATCACTGGGTCATTCTGCCAAGGCAATGTTATCATTGGGTTTGGGCTCATATTTGGAAGTTTTCCAGCAAAAAATCCTATTGTAATAGACTGTTAATTGAAACACCGTCAGGATTATCTTGTAAGGTTACCAGAAGCCAGTTTGATGAAATCTGGGTTCTTTGGGGGGACTTGCTAATTAGAAATGGCTCTGATTACCTGTTGCTTGGATTTTTTCTCTAGGGTGAGGAGTGTGAATCTGCTTGTGATTTGGCCGGGGATTTCTTCCACCTCACTACAGCTGAGCCTGAGGCCATCTTGAATGCGTTCTGTCTGTCTCTCTCTTTCTTCCATTGCTTGCCCTCTCTGGTTCCTCTCCCAGGCTACTCTCCCTCTCCTTGCTGTTGCTGTTTTGCCCTTTGGGTCTCCCTCTTCACCCTCCTTCTGTTTTGCCCACTCCCCTCCTCTCCTGATTGCTTTTTGCTATACAGTTGACCCTTGAACTGCACAGATCCACTTATACATGGATTTTTTTTATAAACACAGTATGGTACTGTAAATGTATTTTCTCTTCCTTATGATTTTCTTTTTTTTTTTAAGTTTATTTATTCATTTTGAGAGAGAGCGAGAATCCCAAGCAGGCTTCATGCTGTCAGTGCAGAGCCCGACATGGAACTGATCTCAAAAACCATGAGATCATGACCTGAGCCAATACCGAGAGTCAGACGCTTAACCGACTGAGCCACCCAGATGCCCCAGTCTTCCTTAGGATTTTCTTGACTACAATCTCTTTTCTCTAACTTACTTCATTGTAAGAATACAGTACGTGATACATGTAATGTACAAAATATGTGGTAGTTGACTGTTGATGTTATCGGTAAGGCTTCTGGTCAAGAGTAGGCTATTAGTAGTTAAGTTCTGGGGGGTCAAAATTCCGTGTGGATCTTCAGCTGCACAAGGGGCCCTCGTGCCCCACGATGTTCAAAGGTTGGCTGTAGTTAGTTCTCTCTTTCTCACCCTGTGTCTTCAGTTCCCCTCTACAATGACATCAGGTTTCCTCAGGGTAGGGCGAATCCCAGCCCACTTGTGCCAATTTGTCCCACTGTCTGCAGGTGTTTGGCTGGTCTGATACCATCTGTTCAGGACTCATCTATTCATGCTGCAAACACCCTTCAGGCTCCCAGCTGATGGGAAGTGAGAAAGGCGTTTTCTCCCTCTGTCCCTGACCTGGGCTCGGCCCCAGGTTTGCCCCTAATTGGAAACAGCAGGTCCAGCACCAGAGCCAGGGCCATCCCCGTGCCAGCATTATTCAGATCCCCCATGGTGCCCTGTGGGGACTGGGCCAAGCCACTTAATTCATGGCCAGTGTGTGCCTTTCTAATGTGTCTGCCAAAATGTCACTGTCAGCCTATAGGTGACAGCCATTGCTCATTGGTGAAGAGCCTTCCTGTGATTTGCACTTTCCTGCTCATGCTATTCTTGAGAAGTTAAAAGAAGACAGAGACCCTGTGTCTTTTCAAGAGGGTCTCTGGAGGCAGTGGGCTGGTGAGCTAAAGGGACTATCAGATTTTCACTCTAGAGCTTAAGATGGAACCCCCGCTCGGCTGCACACACAGCAGGAAGGTTCCCAATAGGTATCCTGTTTTTCCCTAGTGCGAGATTCTCACTCGCCCAGGAAAAACCATTTCACCTGCTAACAGTGAAAACAACCATGTCTGCCTAAAAACAAAACAAAACAAAACAAAACAAAACAAAACACAAAAACACTGGTGGTAACTCAACCTCCTCTTCTTTGCCTTTTGATTGACTCCTGTTGTAAGAAGTGCTCACTGCTGACAGCATGAAGCCTGGACAATTGAACCCTGATTGAGTAATTCACACAGTTCTGGGAAATAAAGTCAACAATTCACAGACTGAATCCACTTCTGAATGCTCATTCACCAAGGACCCTTGATATTCGATCTCTTTGCATTTCTGTTCAGTGTTTATTACTTTCCACCCATCCCTCAAACCAAAGTCATAGGTTGGTAATTTCTTGTTTTAGAAAGTGACAAACAGAGCAGGCAGAGAAAACACTGTATATTTTGGACTAAAAATGAAATCATTAGGGTAAGTTTCTATTCTTGGCGACTGGAATTTTACTCTGGTTCTGATTAAGCTCCACAACGATATTATATTCGATGTTTTCCTGTAAATGTATGAGATGGTTTTCTATTGCATGTCCATGAATGGAAATATTAACAGACTCCACTTGGCTCCATTGGCCTCTGGCTTGGTCTTCACACCCAAAAAGCCAACTAACAGAGAATCACATCCCAGCCCAGAGCGAGTAGTTCTTGTCCTGCCTGTGGTTTTTGTTCATGGTCTCACAATGAAGCGTAAATCTCAAACAAAATATATGAAAGTAAGTGCAATAACTCCATTCCAGTGTCTGTAAATTACTCAGGAAGAAACGGCTGCCTACTCCAAGCATCTATCTTCTGTGCCTACATTTCTGTCAATAGTGGGTCTTTCCTGAGTCTATTTCTTGGTGGTTATTTTCGTGAGGCCGGAGTATGGTCTATGCGTTCTCTCAAGTTTGTAAACAAGGAGAGTCTCGTGACAGAGAAGTGGAGAAGTCAAGGTATTTTATAATTGGAAAATTATAGATATCAGCACAAGATTTTTAAAAGCAGTTAGGTAAATTTGAGAATGAGAAATATGTGGGAAATAATAGAATAGCTACATTCCACCGATCCATTACCCATGTCGCAGAAGCAGAAATCGACCCTGAGTCCAGAAGCCAGAGGATGAAGCTGTTGCCCCTTTGGATGGTCAGACTTGTGAGCAATCTAGAGTAGGTGTGGAGGAGGGGATCCCAGAGCAAGAGGGCCGGGCTCTTGTCCATAACACCATCCCCTAAGCAGGGTCACCTTGCACTTCTCCACCTCATGCTGAGTTGGAAGTTACCTTATCTCTACGATGGGGATAATACTGATCTCAGAGGTTTTTAACAGGTATTTTAGAAGTTAATCTATAGAAAACCCTTAGTAGAGTGGCACATAATACACAATAAATGTCATATATTATCGGTGGTAGCAGTCATACTCACTTCTGGCCCCCAGTTTACGCCAGTGAAGGGCTTGACATATTTTAATACATCATATTACATTACATTTAATTTTACACCTAACATATAGGCAGTGCTATCTTTATTGATGCCTCTCAGACAGCCTAAGAGAGAGGCCTAAGGGGAATCTTGGGGGGTATTTCTATCCCACCGTTGCCTTTTCTCCCCGCAAAGCCCAGACTCAGATTTCCAGTACTGGTGTGCTCACCCTCGTGGCCGAGGAAGAAGCATGGCAGGGAGTTGGCCAAGCTTCTTCCTGGTCCAGCTGATGGGCCTCTTCTCATTCTGGCACAGAAGGGCCAGGAGAGAGCCATACATGGGCCCGCAGGGAACTCCCCTCTTACAGGTGGGAGCCAATCACCTCTATGGAATCAAACTAGTCAGAGGAATACCTCCTTCTGGAGGCTGCTGGGAGGGGTCAGGGAGGCCTGCATGGGCCTAAACACAAAGTCCACTTGGCTTCAAATGTGAAGAAATAGAAAAACTCAAAGATGGCTAGCAAAAATTGTACACTTATCCTTAACACATTGCATTAGACATATGGAAGCACCCGCCTCATTTTGGAGGGCCAAGGTACATAACTCCTTATTTACCTTTGTGAATTTGTGTGTGTGTGTGTGTGTGTGTGTGTGTGTGTGTGTGTATAATGTCATTGTGACAATCATACGTCTTCCTCTGTCGATATAATTTTATCAAGGTCTAAACTGAATAATGTTGTCATCTACATTATTAGAAAAGCAAAGGTAACAGCAACAGCAAGACAAACAAGAAAATCTCAGGAGAGAGAAGGGGAAAAAAGCAGTTTCCAGAATAGGTGCTGGAAAACAGTATAATAGAAGACACGGGAAAGCAGGAATATTGATTTCTAGACGTGGCTCTATTCACCACTCCATTGGAAGCAATATGGACCTAAACAATTCATTTAACAACTCTGGAGACAATAAATGACCCCCGGGTGTGGCTCTCTTCTGGTTCTGCTGGTTTTCTTGACAGCCTAAGAGGAGATCTTGGGGGAACATTGGCAAGACTTCCCTGACTCCAGAAAGTTCTTGGAGTCCTCTGGTGGTGGTGCTGGTGGTGAGGAGGTGTTGGGGAAAATGATGGTAGTGATGATAGGATGGTGGTGGTCATGGTGATGGTGGAGCTGGTGGTGGAAATGTTGGTGGAGGCGGCGATGGCGGTAA